TGGTCGGGGAAAGGAAGAGGAGCGGAAAGGGAGGGCAGGCGTGCCTGGCGCCCGACTGTATCCTCGCCACCAAGGACGTGGCTGCTAGGCTGGTGAGAGGGCGGGCAGGAGAAGGGATGATGACAGGGGTAGTGTGAAATATACGGTTGAGGCAAGGGAGTTGCAGCACAAGCAGAGGGCAGGTGTGCCTGGTGCCTGACTATGTCCTCGCCTCCAAGGACGTGGCTGCTGGACTGGTGCGTGTGGGGGCAGTGGAAAACAGAGTAGGGGTTGGGGTGAAGCGCAAAGGTATGGAGCAAGGGAAGGGAGGAAGGAAGGAGGTGGGCCCAGGTGTGCCTGGCGCCCGACTGTATCCTCGCCTCCAAGGACGTGGCTGCTCCACTGGTGCGTGTTGGGGGGGGCAGTGGTGGGGAGAAATGTAGTTGGGATTGGAAGGGATTGTGAAGAGGAATTGGAAGGAAAGGGCAAGTGTGCCCGGTGCCCGACTAAATCCTCGCCTTTCTCCTCACTTTCCCCCCCACAACTGCCCCATCCTCTCCTTTCTCCTCACTTTCCCCCACACAGCTGCCCCATCTCAAGTGATAAAAGAGTTGTTTTGAGACGTCTCAAAGCTGCCCCATCCTCGCATTTCTCCTCACTTTCCCCCCCACAGCTGCCCCATCCTCTCCTTTCTCCTCACTTTCCCCCACACAGCTGCCCCATCTCAAGTGATAAAAGAGTTGTTTTGAGACGTCTCAAAGCTGCCCCATCCTCGCATTTCTCCTCACTTTCCCCCCCACAGCTGCCCCATCTCAAGGCAGCAATCGAGCAGTTCTACGGCGCCAACCCCGCTCTCTGCCCTGACCTCGCGCGCGTCATCAACACTTCCCACGTGCACCGCCTGCAGAAGCTTCTTGAGCACCCTGCTACCGCCTCCTGTGTCGTGCATGGGGGGCAGAGCGACGTGGAGTCAAGGTGAGGCAACTTAGTCAATGAGGGTCAACGCTGGTCACTCTTTAAGCCTGCAGAAGCTGCTCAACCACCCTGCTACAGCCTCCTGTGTCGTGCATGGGGGGCAGAGCGACGTGGAGTCGCGGTGAGTCAACCCATTCTCCCAGTTCCTCCTCTCCCTCCGCCCCTCGCTCGCGCGCGTCATCAACACCTCTCATGTGCACCGCCTGCAGAAGCTTCTTGAGCACCCTGCTACAGCCTCCTGGGTCGTCCATGGGGGGCAGATCGACATTGATTCGAGGTGAGTCAATCCATTCTTCCAGTTCCTCCTCTCCCTCCGCACCTCGCGCACATCATCTATTCTCTTACCCCCATCACCCATCTCCTCCTCCACTCTCCTCACCGCACCCACCATCCCCCAACCTTCCCCCCTCCCACCTAACCTCCCCGCGTTTCCCGCCCCCCACCAACCACCCAGGTACTTCGCCCCAACGCTGCTACTCAACGTGCCCTGGGATGCCCCCATCATGCAGTCCGAGGTCTTTGGACCCATCCTGGCCATCCAAACTGTGAGACCCCTCATCCTGGCCATCCAAACTGTGAGACCTCTCATCCTAGCCGTCCAAACTGTGAGACCCCTCATCCTAGCCGTCTAGTCTCCCTGCCTTCCTCGTTTCCCTTCTCCCCAGCGCCCACCACAAGTCGCCTTGTGTTCAGCATGCCTCAGGCCTCTATTCCGCTCTTAGCAAGCCCCTGAGGCTCCACTGGTACCTGTGTGCTGTGCTGTCCACCTATACTGCACCACTGGCCCCCTCTCTCCCCCCCATCAGGTATCAGGCATCGACGAGGCCATTCACATCATCAATGCGCACCCCAAGAGGTTGTTTGACCCTCCACCGATAGTCATTTTCTGTCTGCCCGTGTGCTTTCTCTGCCCTTCTTTCCCGCCTGTCACACCCATCAGGTGTCAGGCATAGACAAGGCCGTTGACATCATCAACGCTCGTCCCAAGCCGCCGTGCCCCCGGTGATAGTTGTTTCATGTCCGCCGATACTGTACTGCTACACCCCTCGCTCCCCCCCATCAGGTGTCAGGCATCGATGAGGCAATTGACATCATCAATGCGCGCCCCAAGCCGCTGGTGGTGATGGTGTTCTCGTCCCGGGAGGACACGCGGCAGCGCTTTGTCAAGGAGACCAGCTCGGGGGCTGTCGTGGCTAATGAGCTCATCCTGCAGGTGCGACGAGGGTAGAAGGTGGTGAGGGTGGTGACGGTGGTGACGGTGGTGAGGGTGGTGATGCCCTTCTCGTCCCGGGAGGACACGCGGTGGTGGCAAATGAGCTCATCCTACAGGTGTGGGGGGGAGGAGAGGGTTTTGGAGGGAGGGGAAGGAGGGAGGGGGGAAAGGAAGCCATGAGGCTTGCGAGTGAGAGGGGGGGAGGAGGGAAAGGAAGAAGGAGGAGGGGGGGAGAGGGGGTGAGCCATGGGTTTTGGAGGGAGGGGAAGGAGGGAGGGGGGAGAGGAAGCCATGAGGCTTGCGAGTGTGTTCGCCTCCCGAGAGGACGTGTGGTAGCGATTGTCAAGGAGAGCAGCTCGGGGGCTGTGGTGGCCAACGAGCTCATCCTACAGGTGAGGTGAGGGGGGGAGGAGAGGGGGGGAGGAGAGGGGGGGAGGAGAGGGGGGGAGGAGAGGGGGGGAGGAGAGGGGGGGAGGGATTAGTGAGTGTGTTTGTAAAGCCAGGGGGTGCAGAAGAGGTTTTCAAGGAGAGCAGCTTGGGAGCTGTCGTGTCCAATGAGAGCTTATCCTGCAGGTGCAACCAAGGGGAAGGAGAGGCAAGAGGGTTTTGGGCGGGAGAAGCGGGAGAAATGAGGCACGAGGTCACCTTTGAGTCGACTCAGAAGAGAAATGAGGCAGGAGGTCATATTGTCGGTGTCACATACCCCTGGCGCGTATTGTCGGTGCGGTGCGCGTATTGTCGGTGCGGTGCGCGTATTGTCGGTGCGGTGCACATTCCCTGCCCCGTCTTCCTCGGATGCTTCAAGTGCTTCCCTCATGCACGCAGACTTACCCAACGTGCGGCAACAGGTCCTGAGCGAGAGCATCATGTGTGCTCTGGGGGCCAAGGATATCAAGGGCAGTGGGATGAAGGGGTGAGGAGAGGAGAGGTGAGTGGGTGGAAGCGAGAGGGAGAAGGGTATATTGGTGTTGAACCCCTAGACCCTATCTCTCATCACCAACCCCTCCCCCTTGTCCTCACCACTCTTTCCTGCCCCTTCCCAGGCGGGCAACATGGAGCTGCCATTCGGAGGAGTGGGAGACAGCGGCATGGGGCGGTACAAGGGGCGCTGGTCCATCGACTGCTTCAGCCACTGCAAGGCCGCCTACACCAGGCCCCTCTGTAAAGACCTGGCGGCGCGCTTCCCTCCCAGCACACGGCGCGGGGAGATGATTGTGAAGGCGGTGATCAAAGGGGCGTACTGGACGCTGCTGCTGCTGCTGCTGGGGCTCAAGAAGTGTTAAACGTGTTCCTGAGCCTATGGCGTGTGAGTGAGACATCTCCAAAGGCGAGGGGAGATTGTTGTGAAGGCTGTGATTAAAGGGGCGTAGGAAGTTTTACTGCAGGGTCTGTGTCTTCTTCAGATGTCTCAAGAAGCGATGGGGAAATCTTAGTAAAGGCTGTGATCGAAGGGGCTTGCTGCTGTGTCTTAAAGCTCAAGGCCCAAATTGCGGGCCGCGCAGGGCAAGATTAGTAATCTTGCACACTTCTCGTTTTCTGTGCTGGTGTGTGGCGAAAATTTGGTTACAGTAGGTGCGATGCAATCTGATTGGTCGAACCAAAACTCACTGCCAAAACATCGAGTTTTACTACTCTGCAATTTGGGACTCGAGGTCCCCAAACTCACGTTTCCCCCGGAAGCTCGCTGACTCAGCGAAAAAAACAAGTGTTACGGGCGAAATCCGACAGGTCACCTTCCCAACACTCCCCTCGACCCCCACGTTCCCAAACCCACCCCTCACCACGCAAGATTAGTAATCTTGTGCAATTTGGGCCTAGAGCTTTAAGGTGTGGTAGCGTTGGCGCAGGGACTTTGTATGTAGACAAGTCAGTTCGGTAACCAATCACAGAAAGGCAAGCTCACTAACAACCCAATAAGGCACTGCATCTGTGAGTAAAAGAAGGTACAGATGTTCCGACAACTGCTAACCATTTCCTTTCGGTGTTATTGCGCAAGTCGTAAATCGTTGTCCATCTTTGAACTTCAACTTAGCCCGTGCTTGAGCACAGCAGCATGGGCAACACAGAACAGAACCCATCGCCGTACACAGGGGAAGCATCAGTGGCATGGCAATGGTGCATGCAGAGTAGCCGCTGCCCTCATCTGTTGCCGGCAGCCCCAGTGCTTGACCTACACTCTAGGTAGTGCTCTGCTCTATGTGCCCAAATGTGCTCCAGAGCGTAGGCAGCAGATAAGCACTGGAGCGTGGACAGCACAAGCAATAATAAACACAAAACACACGTTACTTGCAAGACCCACATTATCTACACTCTAGGCAGTGCTCTATGTGCCCGTACGTATGTGCTCTAGCGTAGGCAGCAGCCCGTGCTTGAGCACAGCAGCATGGGCGGCACGAAACCCATCGCCATACACGGGAGAGGCATCAGAGGAGATGGAGTGCAGGCAGAACAGGCTGTGCCTTGATCTGCTGCCAAGCGGTCAACCTATGCTCTGGGCAGTGTTCTGTATGCGCGAATGTGTTCTAGTGTAGGCAGCAGCCCGTGCTTGAGCACAGCAGCATGGGCGGCACGGAACCCATCACCGTACACGGGAGAGGCATCAGTGGCAATGGAGTGCAGGCAGAGTAGCCCGAGCCATCATCTGCTGCCAAGCGGTCAACCTATGCTCTAGGCAGTGCTCTGTGTGCGCGAATGTGCTCGAGAGTAGGCAGCAGCCCGTGCTTGAGCACGGCAGCATGGGCTGCACCCATGGCCGTACACTGGGGACGCATCAGAGTAGATGGCGGGCAGACAGAGTAGCCCCTGCCCTCATCCGTTGCTGGCAGCCCCAGGGCTATACTCTAGGCAGTACTCTATGTGCCCGGATGTGCTCGAGAGTAGGTAGCAACCCGTGCTTGAGCACAGCAGCATGGGCGGCACGAAACCCATCGCCATAAACGGGGGAAGCGTCAGTGGCAATGGAGTGCAGGCAGAACGCTGCAAAGCGCTGCTGAAAGCTGCTGTGCGTCTCGTGAGCCAATGGAGCAGTGGAGCAGGCTTGTTGTGATGTGTGTGGGGATGGGGCTTGTGATGGGGCGTGTGGGGCTGGAGGGGCCTGGGTTTGCAGCCATAGGTACGCCATGACCTGGCACATGCCCTCCTCTAGCTCTGCAGGCAAGTGCCGGAATCCACCTGCAGTTGTGGAATAACAGGGGAGGGAGGAGAAAGAGGATCGTTCAGTTTTAAGGCGAATCAAAAGTCACTGGTATGTCACGACCTGGCACATGCCCTCGTCTTCTCTGTAGGGAGATGGCGGAGGCCCCCTACACGTGTGGACATCAGGGAGGTGGGGGACGACGAGGTGGGTTATGAAGCTAGCTCAGTGACGAGGTGAGGGGAGCCCCCTGCAGGCGCAGTGGGAAGGCAGGGGAGGTGGAATTAATGGGGTGTTGTGCGATGAAATGGAGGGGGACGAGGGGAGCAAGCTGGCTGAAACATGTAATGAGTGAACGATGGAAGAACGTGAGTCATGAATCCATTGAGTCGTGTGGCGGGACTACGGATGGTTCTGAAACGTCTCAAAACTGAACAACCGAAGAACGTGAGTGATGGATCCATGGAGTCATGGCGGGACTACGATGGCGCAATGAAGGAAGGCATGCGCTGTGGAGGGTACGAAGAGCGTGCCGTGCCGTGGACGAGGCACACCACACCACACCACACCACACCACACCGCACCGCACCGCACGTACCGTCGAGCTTGAACCACGCGTGCATGAGCTCGTGTGCTAGGATGGACGCCGTTAACACTCTGATGGCGGGAGGGGTGCGAGGCGGGGGTGGGGTTGGAAGGGGTAGAGGCAGGGAGGATATGGAAGCAGGCAAGGGGTTGGTTTGAGGGTGGAGTGGAGAGACAGATGGAGACAAGTCCTGTGCAAATACCATGCCATGTACACCTGGGCAGTCTATAGAGCACGAGAATGGCAGTGACACTATGGTATGGTGGGCTGTGGCACAACTACCTACCATGCCATGCCATGCTATGCCATGCTATGCGTACCGCATGCACCATGCCATGCCCACCTGGGCAGCCCATAGCGAACGAGGATGGCAGTGACAGCGCAGTGGCGAGACACCTTCATGGTCTGCTGGCCCACAGGCAGGTGCCATGACATGCAACACAGAATCATGCCTACATGCATGCCCACTACTGCTGCCAACCTGGGCAGCCCATAGAGCACGAGGATGGCAGTGACAGCGCAGTGGCGAGACACCGTCATGGTCTGCTGCCCCACTGCCGAGAAGGAGGAGGCGTGGGAGAGAGAGCCGGGCAGCCGCACCACCTGAATGCAGCAGGGTGGGGCAGGGGAATCAGCAGAAGAGGAGTTCTAATGTGTGAATGACAGGCAAGAGTAAAACAGGAGGGCAAAGACTACCTAGTTCCACAAAAAGGGGGTGGATGGGGAACAGAGGAGAATTAACATAAGGAAAAGTACGAGAAGGTGGAAGAGTGGTGCTGTGCGGTCATGAAGTGATGGGGCTGTATTATAACAGTGCTGGAAAAAGGATGGAGAAGGAAGAAGCTATGGTGCCTGTAGGCTATGGTGCCTGTAGGCTATGGTGCCTGTAGGCTATGGTGCCTGTAGGCTATGGTGCCTGTAGGCTATGGTGCCTGTAGGCTATGGTGCCTGTAGGCTATGGTGCCTGTAGGCTATGGTGCCTGTAGGCTATGGTGCCTGTAGGCTATGGTGCCCGTAGGCTATGGTGCCTGTAGGCTATGGTGCCTGTAGGCTATGGTGCCTGTAGGCTATGGTGCCTGTAGGCTATGGTGCCTGTAGGCTATGTCTCAAGACTGCCACCACCATGGGTGGTAGAATGAGGGGTTTTACAGAGGGGACGAGGTGACTCACCATCTGAATGGTCTGCTCTTCTGACAGGCAGAGGCCCCGCGTGAGCGACCCGTGCTCATGGCCCTGATGGGGATAGTGTTGGTGGTGGTGGTGGGCGTGAGAAGGAAGGAGAAGAGGGAAAGAGGGGAGGAAAGGAGGCAGGAATGATGTGGCAGGGTGAGGTGAGGTGCTGTGGGTGGCTGGGGATCGCAGCATCGGAATGTGCTGCTTCATTGGGTGACAGAGAGCAATTACTAGATAGTGCATCCCAAGCCTGATACGCATTGACCATCACACCCACTCACCTCCATTCCTGTCCTCTGCACATCGTTTAGAGCCTGCTGCTCCTCTGCCAGCACCGGAATCTGCTGCCTCACTGGCATCCCCTGTTGCCCTAGAGCCAAAATACCCACACGTGCGTGTCAAACCCTAAGGACATGAGGACATGAACCCATCACACACACCCACTCACCTCCCTCTCCACCCTCTGTGCATCACTCAGCGCCTGCTGCTCCTCTGCCAGCACCGAAATCTGCTGCCTCACTGGCATCTTCTGTTGTGCTGGTGAGCAGATATTCACCTGTGAATCACAAGTCCAATGTACCATCTCACCCACTCACCTCCCTTTCTGCCCTCTGAGCATCGTTCAGCGCCTCCTGCTCCACTGCCAGCACTGGAATCTGCTGCCTCACTGGCATCCCCTGTTGTGCAGAAAGCAGATATTCACCTCTAAATCACAAGTCCAATGTACCATCTCCCTCACTCACCTCCCTCTCCGCCCTCTGAGCATCATTCAATGCCTGCTGCTCCACTGCCAGCACCAGAATCTGCTGCCGCACTGGCATCTTCTGTTGTGCTGGTGAGCAGATATTCACTGTGAATCACAAGTCCAATGTACCATCTCCCCCACTCACCTCCCTTTCTGCCCTCTGAGCATCGTTCAGCGCCTCCTGCTCCACTGCCAGCACTGGAATCTGCTGCCTCACTGGCATCCCCTGTTGTGCAGAAAGCAGATATTCACCTCTAAATCACAAGTCCAATGTACCATCTCCCTCACTCACCTCCCTCTCCGCCCTCTGAGCATCATTCAATGCCTGCTGCTCCACTGCCAGCACCGGAATCTGCTGCCGCACTGGCATCCCCAGCTGGGCAAAGAAGGCGCTAACTGACGAAAAAAGCGGGCGGCAGTCGGCGGAGTCTAGCACGGCGGAGTCAACGCAGTCAAGGCAGAGATGCCGCCCGTCTGGCAGGTCGATGAAAGGGGGGCAACCGCGAGACTGCAGTTTTGATGCCAAGGGGAGCGGCAGAGAAGCAGGACACGGGAAAGGGAAGAGGGAGTAAAACTCTGAGTTGACTCAAACGTCGCTCGTCTGGCAGGTCTATGAAGGGGGGGGACCGTGGGACTGCAATCCAAGGGGAGCAAAAGGGAAGCAGGGTGAAGAGAGGGAAAGAAGAATTGCAATTCTGAGTTGACTCAAACGTCGCCAGTCTATGAAGGGGGGGAGGGGCGTGGGACTGCAAGCCAAGGGGAGCATCAGGGGAGCAGGACGAGGAGGAGGGTGAAGACGAGGGAGTGCACTGGAGCAGGCTATAAAGCCTCTCAAGACACAACAGAGGGGTGCAAGCAGCCACATGTTAGGGGGCTGAAGTGATGTAGGGAGAACATACATGGGCAGGTGGAGCAGGGGCAGGTGGCACTGGGGCAGGCGGAACAGAAGCAGCAACTGCGCAGTCTCAGCACCACACCCTCACCTGCAGGCGACAGCAGGAGGTGCAGGAGGGCGTGCTGTCAGTCATGTGGGCGGGGCACCACTTGTCTCCCCAGAAGGGGTGCGAGCGGAAGTTGATCATGCCTGCTGGGTTGGGGCGGATCTGGAGGGGAGGGTTGAAACAGAGGAGAAGGGCAGGGAGAGGTTGGGGGGTAGGGGAAGGATGGGATAAGGCCTTGAGAGCTGAGAATAAAGAGGACTTGTGTGTGGATTCTGATCGGCGGAATGGAAGCATTGCAAGATGGCTTTAAAGCGCCTAATCCCTCGACGTGCTTTGTAACCAGGAAGCAAGAGGTAGGAGCATGGACTCACAAAGTCCTGGCAGACGGCGCACTTGGGGTGGAAGAGCTGGCGGTGGCATGCTGCATGGTAGGGCTTGTCATCCTTGATGTTGAACTGGTGGGGGGTGGGGAGACAGGGGAAGGAGTGAACGGCACGAGGCACATGGCATGATGGCATGATGGCATGAAGGCATAAGGCATGCTGCATGGCATGGCTTGCCATGCTTGATGTTGAAATGGGGGTGGATTGCGAGAATGGCATGATGGCATGGCATGCCGCCCTTTGAAGGAGAGGTGAGCGTGTCCCAGTCGCAGACCACATTGCCCCCACATCACACTCACTGCAACATCATTTTGCGACATACCTGTTTCTCTGAGATGGTCTGCTTGCATGCGTGGCACGTGAAGCACTGCGGGTGCCACAACCCCCCCATGGACGAGAGCGCAGGGGAGAAGCCCAGCGACCCATGGCACCCCGCACACACGGGCGGCAGCAGCGCCGACCACACAGGGTGCTGCTGCCCTCCACCCACCACCCTCCCTGCTCCTGCGCCGCCCGCCCCACAGCTGCGCGCGGTGCTGCTGCTGTTGCTGCTGCCAGCAGGAGGTGCTGCAGGTGAATGCGCGAGCCCGCCCTGGGGAAAACGGGAGGGATGAGTGAGGGGAGGGAAAGGGCCGTGGATGGATAAGGTGGAGCAAGTCAGTGTGGGCCCGAGGGGTTATCACTCCTCCCATCACATCTCTCATCCTCCTCACATCGTAAGCTCCACACGAGTGATTTTTGAGAATTCTCAAAAATCACTCCACAATTCATCTCCTTCCAGTTTCACATCCCTCATTCCCTCGCCTCCTCTAACCTCACCTACGCCACCCTCACCTCCTCCCGCCTCACCTCCCCCACCCTCACCTCCCCCACCCTCACCTCTTCAAGGCTCAGCTCCTGCTGCAGCAGCCGGGCTATCTCCTCGTCATTGCTTGTATCTGGCGCCCCCTCACCACCTCGCCCCACTCCGCCTGGCCCCACTCCACCGATGCCCGCATGCCTCAACCGCTCTGCACCACCACCAGCAGCTGCTGCTCCTGCTCCTGCTCGTGCTGCTGCTGTTGCTGACCAATGACGATTCATGGGTTCTCGTTGCGCTGCCGCAGCTGCTGCTGCCGCTGCTGGTGTCCTGTCAGCACGCTGGGCTGTTCTAACAGCTGAAGAAGCAGCATGGCAAGGGATGGAAGGAGGGCGGGGATGAGCACATGCAGGGAGCAATCCGTCTGTGATGTGACATGTGCAGACAGCCACTGGCAAGACAAGCATACACACAGACCAGCATATACGGTTGGACGCACACGGATTCACACACACGGGTTGACACACACGGATGCACGCACATGCATGAACGCACCTTGAGATGCCTCCTCCGCCTCTCGTCTCGAAATTTCCAACGCCAGCTGAAGAGCCCTGTCCTCCTCCTCCTCATCCCCATCCCTCCGCACTGCCTCCCCCCTGCCTGTGTTCCCCCCCCGTCCCCCGCCCCGCTGCTCTAATTGACTGCTCCTTCCTGGAGGCCAGCCCCCTTGCTGCTGGTAGCTCGGACCTGGCTGTTGGTGGTTCGGAACCTGATGCTGTTGGTTCGGAACCTGCTGGTGGTGGTTCGGCACTTGATGCTGCTGGGTCGGCACCCACGGCTGATGGCTCGGCACATGCTGCTGATCCTGGAGAAGCGAGACAGACAAAGTAGAGTGGTAGACAGAAAAGATTTCAAAGACGAGAGGACACGTGAGTGGCAGAAGAGTAGAGAGTGAATGAGTGAGGCATGGGAGACGGTGGCATGTGTGGCACACCTGCAAGGAGAGCCGGAGTGCTGCTTCCAACTGCCGCTGTTCCTCCTCCCTCAGCTGCTGCTCCCTCTGCTGCTGCTGCTGCATCGTTGGGTGGTGACTGGCCAACGCTGGGGGCTGCGATGGGGATGCGACGGAGATGGGGATGACGAACGAAAAATGGGGGGATGTGGGGTGGTACAACAAGTAAATCGTATCCATTCAAGGCCATCACCTTATTCTCATACGTGCATCTTCATCGCCTTATCTCTTGACGTTATATGAAAAAGGTTAATTGCATGAAAGCGTACCACATGGTGTAAAGATTGCGTCGAGCTGCTGCTGCGATTAGGCTCGTCTGAACCGCCTGCTACAGCCCTACGCAGACCAGGCACGAGAAGCAACAGGATCGTACAAGAAAGCTTAGAGCAACTCCTTCGCGTTTCCTACGCATCACGCATCCGACAATTTCATCAGAGCTGGTGAAACGAGGGAAGACTAAGCGTCAGGTAAAGGAGCGCTCCACGCATCAGAAGCGACAGCGGAAGAAACGGAGCGAACGAGCTGGCAGCGGAGCGGCAGCGGAACCTCTCGCTGAAGCGGACCAGGTGGCTTTTGGGAATTCTCAAAAGGGAGGCTTCAAACGGTCAACGCGCGAGGCTCCAAGAAGCAAGACGCGGAGAATTTGGTCGGGTTGTTCCCGTGACCGGGACAGCTACTTAACGATGCGCCATGATCCTAGCGAAGATCGACGGCGCTAGCGAATTCAGTTGAAGCAATTTGCGACAATGATTACCTGCGAAACCATGACGTCACGTTCCCGACGACGTTATCCATTCAGACCCGGAATTATAAGAACCTAGATTTATTCCTCCTTGAAGCGGTAAGCAGCTAGCGTCTACGCCTGCTGTGGCAAACTGGAGCTGACACGCCGTATAATTACGTACTACTGTAATACGATCCGTCTGCCGACTAGGTGCGGAGGGTGAACCGGTACTTGCTGCCTGGTAGCTACCGCTGTGGGATGTTCCGGAAGCGTTCAAGAATCTCGAAGGTGTTTGAGTTGGGACCAGGGCTGACGACTCAAGGGCAAATGCCCTTAATGCCCTGAACATTAAGGGTCGGGTTCGGCCTAGCTTTCAAATTTTAAGGGCTGGATTTGAGGGCAGCCCGTCCCCGGTTGTGGGCCTCGCCCTTATTGTCCCATTCTAAAACCTCCCTCCCTCCCATTCCCTTACCCGTCCCCCCATCTCCTCCCAGCCACTTAACGTAGTTCTTGATGTGGTTAACATCGGGCTCCTCATAGGTTTCTTCAGGTTGACATCCAAGAACACGTGACAAACAACCTTCTCCGAATAAATGGAGGTTTTTCCTTAGCGAAAGTGCCAAAAAGCTGGTAGCCCTGATTTCAAGTGCTAGTTCGGCTCTCAGCCCGTAACTTTCAGGGGAACTTTTGGGGCACCTCAGCCTCTCAAGTTCTGGCTCCAAACCAATCGACAGCCCTGGTTGGGACGGGAATCTCGAGGGCTTGTGAAGCCACGCTCGTGTTGGTGTCCTGTGAAGCTGCAAAAGTTGCGGTAGTTGCGTGTTGTGAATTTGATCGTTATATAGACAAGCAAAGCCATAATGAGATTGCAGTTAACCGAGCTGTACCGAACTCTCGAACAGGATTTTATGGGAATGTCCTTATTTTGGACGAATGGCACACCTGCATGACATTTCTGCTTCCATGCTCTGACATGTCTGACATGTCAGTAGTGAAAATGGACCTTTCATGATTATTGCTATCCAATTTTAGTAATTTCTAATGCTGGGCGCTTATTGTTGGATTCATGACGCCTAACATACAGAGCATCAGACCGTACGTGAACACACGGGTCAACAAAATCGTAGAAGACGCCTCGGTCCTCAACTCCTCGCAGCTCTATTCCTCCTTAACTTTCCTTTGAGCCGGAGCCTTGTGCATCTCTCTCCCGATCTTCTTGAGCACCTCGTCTATCAAAATAACCGGAAGCGACGTCACGAGCACGAGCAGCCACTCGTTGAAGCTCAGCGGCACGATCCCAAACACGTTAGCGAGGAACGGCACATAGAGGATGAGAAAGTGCAGCGAGAACGACAGAGCCATCGCCACCAGCAGCCAGGGATTCACCCAGGGAGGCATCCGCGTCAGACTCACATCCTCTGACAGCGCATTGAGCGAGTTGAACATCTCAATCGCCACCAGCACCGACAGTGACAGAGTCGTGGCCTTCACCTTCCCCGACTCGAAATAGTCACACGGGTCGTGATTAAAAGAGAAGGTCTGTGAGCCTGCAGTGAAGGGTGACGCGGAGAAGTCTTGCCAGGAGCGGCACTGGTCCCAGTGGCGTAGCTGGTGCAGGGAGACGAGGGAGTGGCCGTCCTGAGAGAGGTCAATGCCGAGGAAGGAGGAGTGCGTGTACCAGATGGCAAAGACGCCTACTGTTGCTATTCCCACGTACATGCCTATGATCTGCAGGTGAAGGGGGGACAAGGGGGAGCGTGGAGGAGTGAGTTGGAGAGAGTGTGAGAGGTCGATACCGAGGAAGGAGGAGTGCGTGTACCAGTTGGCAAACACTCCCACTGTTGCTATTCCCACGTACATGCCTATGATCTGCACAACCATGAGAAGCCCTGGTGTATCGCAGCAGCACCCAGGCAGTGACCAGCGCATTGTCACTCCGCCTAGGCTGTCTCCTCATCACGTTCTCATCGGGGGGGTTGAAGCCCGGCGCAGTGACCAGGATTCAATATCAACTCACTCCCCTCCATGCACTCACCACATATCGCAGCAGCACCCAGGCAGTGACCAGAGCATCATCGCTCCTCCTGGGCTGTCTCCTCATCACGTTCTCATCAGGGGGATTAAAGCCCAGCGCAGTAGCGGGCGGCCCGTCCGTGACGAGGTTGACCCACAGCAGCTGCACTGGGATCAGATTCTCTGGCAATCCAAGAGCCGCAGTGAGGAAGATGGACGCCACTTCGCCCATGTTGCTCGATATCATGTAGCTGTGAGGGAATGGAGAAAGGGAGAGAGGAAACAACAGGGAAGAGTGTGCATGAGATGGTGTGTGACAAGGTTGACCCACAGCAGCTGCACCGGGATCAGATTCTGCGGCAGGCCAAGGGCGGCAGTGAGGAATATAGAGGCCACTTCCCCCATGTTGCTCGATATCATGTAGCTGTGTAAGGAAGTGAAACGAGAGGGAGAGGGGGGAGGGGAGAGGGGGAGAAGACGAGCTGGGTCTACAGTGCATGAGATTGTGGGTGACCAGATTGACCCACAGCAGCTGCACCAGAATCAGGTTCGCAAGCATCGGTGGCAGATATCATGGTGCCTGGGAGGAAGATGAGCATCCCCTCACCCAACCCAAGCAGCTCGAAATGATGCAGCGGAGAAGGTAAGGGGCAGTGTGTTGGGGAGACACCGCAATGGCCACATGACCATGTTCAGATGGCATCAGGCTGTGTGTCGTAGACAGTGATTCACACACATGAATGGCCCCTCACCGGATGAAGGCCTTCATGTTGTTGTAGATGGACCGCCCCTCCGCCACTGCAGCCACGATGGTGCTGAAGTTGTCGTCCGCCAGCACCATGTCAGACGCCTCCTTTGCCACCTGATAGACGAGAGAATGGGGTGTAGGAAGAGGGTAGGTCGGACCATTGTGAGAATGGCGCCACTGCAGACACGATGGTGCTGAAATTGTCGTCCGCTAGTACCATGTCCGATGCCTCCTTTGCCACCTGCAGGTGAATGAAAGGAGGGGGTCGGACGAAGGTAGGTAGGAACATCGTGTGAATGGTGCCACTGCAGCCATGATGGTGCTGAAGTCGTCGTCCGCCAGCACCATGTCCAACGCCTCCTTTGCCACCTGCAGAGAAGTGGCTTGCCAGGAATCAATGGAGGAATCACCTTTGTGCTGAGCAGGTGGAATATTCACAGGAGTTGCCAGAAAGATCATAATTCACCCAAAGGCGATGCCAATATCCGCGAGCGTTACTCACCTCAGTGCCTGCGATGCCCATGGCGACGCCAATATCCGCGAGCTTGGGAGCAGGAGAATCATCCCCGCCATCCCCCGACATGTCTTATGAGTACCTAACAAGTCACTCACCTCTGTGCCTGCGATGCCCATGGCGATGCCAATATCCGCGAGCTTGAGCACAGGGGCGTCGTTCACGCCATCCCCTATCATAGCCACCACCTCGCCCTGGTCCTTGAGCATGCGCACTATCTCCTGCTTGTGCCGCGATATCTCATGTCTAGTGAGTACCTACAAGTCACCCACCTCACTGCCTGCAATGCTCATGGCGATGCTGACATCCGCCAGCTTGAGCACAGGGGCGTCGTTCACCCCATGTCCCAGCCATGACTCTTTGGTCGACTCAAAATCCACCCACCTCGGTGCCTGCAATGCCCATAGCAATGCCGATATCCGCCAGTTTAAGAGCAGGGGCGTCGTTCACCCCATCCCCCGTCATGGCAACCACCTCCCCCTGCTCCTTGAGCATGCGCACTATCTCCTGCTTGTGCCGCGGCTCTGCACGTGAAAACACCTTCCCACCAGGCACCTGCCGAGACAAGAACCCGCACAGAACACAGGGGTGGGAGTACATGTGTAAATGCCATGGGAACTACTGACTACGCCTGTCACAGCCACCACCTCGCCTGCTCCTTGAGCATGCGCACTATCTCCTGCTTGTGCTGCGGCTCTGTGCATGAAAACACCTTTCCCCCAGGCACCTGCAGGGAATGAGAACACACAAGCAATGGGGTGTGGTCGTATGTAACTAACTCAGACGCAGACGCCTGTCACAGCCACCACCTCGCCCTGCTCCTTGAGCATGCGCACTATCTCCT